TTTTATACTGAAGTTTAGAGTTGCAGTCGTAGGCTTGATTACCTACAGATGTATGTGCTCGAGGACTGACAGTGATCGATTAATCATTGTTGTGTATCAATGAACATTTATACTGATATATGTTATTGCATTCAAATGCTGGTTTTCTATATATACATTATCTTGCTGATAGTGCAACAGTGTATGTAGGCTTGACCAACTTGAGGAGGTTAATAGTATCAGGTGGTGAACCAGGAGATAGGATACCACTTGATAAGCTGATAATAGAGTTCTGATGGTGTTGGAGTGCAACCTGATTGTGATATTATAGAGTATAGGATTCATTATTATTATATGTGTGTATGTATCGTGTATGTGCTTTGTCCAGTAAATGTGTCACAATTTGCTGGAGTTTGCCCTTGTCCTAGTGAGGCTTCCCAGGAAGTAGTGAAGAAGGAGAGAGAGAGAGAAAGAACCAAGAACCACTGCTGTGGACAGGGTAAGAGGTAATACTAGTAAGTCATAGGGGATTGAGGAGATCATATCTCATAAGGAGAGAGTGGGGAGTCACAGCGGCTCGAGTGGGTGTGTGCACGTGACAACGAGGCTAAGTGTTGGAGCCGCATCCCCTAAACGTGTGACGTTGAGCCCCTCTCCAAGAGCCAGAAGCGCCAAGGGTGATCTCCTAGTATAAGCACTCTGCCGAGTTGTGGGTTGGGTTGTCCATAGAGAAGGATCGACGACGACAACACCAACCAACCCATAGACTATAATATACACCACACCACTATCAGGCTACTACACCACGTCACCAGGTTACTACACCACACCACTATAGCCAGCTACTACACCACACCATTATACCAAGTTACTACACCACACCACTACACCAGGCTGCTACACTGTGCCACTACACCAGGCTACTACACCACACAATTATTCCAGGCTACTACACCACACCACTAAACCAGGGTACTACACCACACCACTATACCAGGCTACTACACCATGCCACTACACCAGGGTACTACACCACACCAGTAAACCAGGCTACTACACCACACCACTACACCAGGGTACTACACACCACTATACCAGGGTACTGCATACCACTATACCAAGGTACAACACCACACCACTATACCAGGGTATGACACCACACCACTATACCAGGGTACTACACCACACCACTATACCAGGGTACTACACCTCACCACTATACCAGGTTACTACACCACACCACTACACCAGGCTACTGCACTACACCACTATACCAGGCTACTACACCACACCACTACACCAGGCTACTACACCACACCACTACACCAGGCTACTACACCACACCACTACACCAGGCTACTACACCACATCACTATACCAGGCTACTACACCACATCACTATACCAGGCAACTACACCACACCACTACAGCAGACCACTACACTAGGTTCTACACCTCACCACTATTCCAGGCTACTACACCACACCACTACACCAGGCTACTGCACTACACCACTATACCAGGCTACTACACCACACCACTATACCAGGCTACTACACCACACCACTACACCAGGCTACTGCACTACACCACTATACCAGGCTACTACACCACACCACTATACCAGGCTACTACACCACACCACTACACTAGGCTACTACACTACACCAGGGTAGTATACCTAACAACTATACCATACTACTACATCACACCACTATACCAGGCTACTACACACCACAACATCAGGGTACCACACCACACCACTATACCAGACTACTATACCGCACCACTTACACCAGGCTACAACACTACACCAGGGTACTACACCACACCACTATACCAGGAAACTACACCATGCCACTACACCAGGCTACTACACCACACCACTATACCAGGCTACTTCACCACACCACTACACCAGGCTACTACACCACACCACTATTCCAGGCTACTACACCACACCACTATACCAGGCTACTAAACCACACCTCTACACCAGGGTACTACACCACACCACTATACCAGGCTACTACACCACACCACTACACCAGGGTACTACACCACACCACTATACCAGGCTACTACACCATGCCACTACACCAGGGTACTACACCACACCACTATACCAGGCTACTGCACCACACCACTTCACCAGGCTACTACACCACAACACTATACCAGGCTACTACACCACACCACTATACCAGGCTACTACACCACACCACTACACCAGGGTACTACACCACACCACTATACCAGGCTACTACACCACACCACTACACCAGGCTACTACACCACACCACTATACCAGGCTACTACACCACACCACTACACCAGGCTACTGCACCACACCACTATACCAGGCTACTACACCACACCACTACACCAGGCTGCTACACCACACCACTATACCAGGCTACACCACACCACTATACCAGGCTACTACACCACACCACTACACCAGGCTACTACACCACACCACTACACCAGGCTACTACGCCACACCACTACACCAGGCTACTATACCACACCACTATTCCAGGCAACTACACTACACCAGGGTACTACACCACACCACTATACCAGGCTACTACACCACACCACTACACCAGGCTACTACACCACACCACTATACCAGGCTACTACACCACACCACTACACCAGGCTGCTACACCACACCACTATACCAGGCTACACCACACCACTACACCAGGGTACTACACCACACCACTATACCAGGCTACTACACCACACCACTATAGCAGGCTACTTAAACATACCACTATACCAGGCTACTACACCACACCACTCTACCAGGCTACTACACAACTACATTAGGGTAGTAGACCGCACCACTATACCATACTACTACACTACACCACTATTCCAGACTACTACATTATACCACTATACAAGGATACTACACCACACAACTATACCAGGCTACTACACCACACTATACCAGGCTACTACACACCAGTACACCAGGGTACTGCACCACACCACTATACCAGGCTACTATACCGCACCACTACACCAGGCTACAACACTACACCAGGGTACTACATCACACCACTATACCAGGCTACTACACCATGCCACTACACCAGGCTAGTACACCACACCACTATACCAGGGTACTAAACCACACCACTACACCAGGGTACTACACCACACCACAATACCAGGCTACAACACAACGCCACTACACCAGGGTACTACACCACACCACTATACCAGGCTACTAACTTGTCCTCTAACTTGTTTGGGGATGTCCCCACTCAGACTTCTCTCATTACTCATGACATTAACTGACAGATGTAACTCCAATTCCGCTACACCCTTATCGAGTGACACCCGATAAACGTTATATCATTCAGGTGGAGGCTGATTATCTTCTTCGACATGGGTTCATTAGACCCAGTCAGAGTTCCTGGAGTTCATCGTGTTTAGTAGTACCAAAACCAGATGATAAGTGGAGATTAGTAGTGGATTATAGAAAACTCAACCAGGTAACTCTAGTTGATGTGTATCCGTTATCTTTATTGGAGGACTGTATCGATACTATAGGTCATGCTAAGTTTGTATCGAAATTGGACTTATTTAAGAGATATCACCAGATACCTCTTACAGATTTTGCAAGGGAAGTGACAGCATTTATCACTCCTGATGGAGCTTTCGAGTTTAATGTAATGCCATTTGGATTAAGGAATGCTCCAGCAACTTTTCAGAATTTAATGAATTCTTTCTTGAAGGATGTGCCAAACTGTAGGGCATATTTGGATGACATTGTGATTTTCAGTAAGAATTGGGTAGATAATATGTCCAGTTTAAAGAAATTGTTTAATGTGTTACAACATGCTAATTTGACTGTGAATATGAAGAAATGTAATTGGGCTAAAGGAACTATAGTGTATTTAGGACATGAGGTCGGACAAGGAAGGATAGTCCCATTGCAAGACAAGATCCAGGTAATTGTGGATTACTCAGTCCTAACAAATAAGAAGTCTGTGCAGAGATTTATTGGAATGTGTGCGTATTATAGGAGATATTGTAAAAACTTTTCCATTGTTGCTGCACCCATAACAAATCTTCTAAGGAAACAGGTAAAATTTAAGTAAACGCAGGAGTGTCAGAACTCTTTTCAGAAGTTGAAAGGAATTCTCTCTACTTCACCTGTGCAAGCTAGTCCACAGTATGATAAACCTTTTTTTCTGCACATAGACGCTTCAGATCTAGGAGCAGGTGCTGTTCTGTTCCAAGTAGGACCAGATGAGTTAGAACATCCTGTATATTATTTCTCTCGTAAATTTGACAGGACACAAATTAATTACTCTGTAGTTGAGAAAGAAGCACTTTGTTTAATATTGGCAGTGAAGAAATTTGAGACATATTTGTCAGGAAATCAAGTAAGTGTAAGTATTTGCGTGTGTGCTCATGTGCAAGTATACTCTCATAAATGTGACTATCAAAAGTTTTCAAACTTAATACAAAACAATAATTATATTATATTTAAAATACAGTACAAAATTTTTATTTATTTTACTTGCATAATGAATAGAATAGTCTCTGAAGAATCTTATTCAGCATATTAATGAAGTGTTTAGTAGCTTAGAGGCATATAGCACATTTACTGAAATATACATCTGTTTTTCACTGATAAATTAGTGGTTATTAACTCTCCGCATACTTTATTGTGATGTAGACACATGCACGGAGATATGTTCACGTTGTTAATAATATTGTGTGTGCATAATTTGTAATTAAATATTATTAACAATATGTAATGATAATTGTATAAATTGAGAGGAATCGGTCCATGTGTATATTGAGTTTACCTTAATCCCAAACTTCGTTAGTTATTGAAGTATATATGAAGGCGAAAAATCTGAATGTTTTCTACCTTATTCACCGTAACAGTCAGTATGTCTTAAACCTTTACAACAAATATGGTATTGCCAGGGTGGGAGATGCTCGCTGGCGTGTGTGGGCTCACATTGGTAGCTTCCAGCCTCACAACAATGGTCATGCTGGCCCCAAACAACACGACGTTTTACTCACAACAGGTAACAAATAATACGATTTTTATTATTAATTTGCAGGGGACATTTATTTTATGGTAAAGGTTCATGTTTTTAGTTACTAGACATATCCTTAGTTATCTAAATAAAGCACACACCTGAAACAAAAACTTAAGCTTTCCAGAGCTGGTGAAGGAAAATTAGTTTTATGAATAGGAACTGTGTATGGGTAGGTATGGTGGTGGAGGGCAGCCGAGGCCTCACTGATGCAGGGTCAGCTGTGGCACTGCTCCTTCACACTGCTTGCTGCCCAGGACCATTTTGCTGCTAGCCTCAGCCTGCACCTGGTGTTGTTCATGGTCACCCACGGTCTTCCTTACCAGGTAAATTTCTCTCACCCACAACCTACCGTTCAGAGTGAGTAAAGTTTAACTATCACTTCCACTACCAGGTGTGCCTCACTATCACCACCTATTCAGCCAGGTGAGTCCCGCTCATCGTCCTCATTCCTTATCAAGTGATTTTTGCTCAATCACCAACTAAAATACCCGATGATTCATGCTCACCCAATACCTCCATTACCAGGAAAATCATGCTCACTCACCAAATCCCCAAACAGGTGACCATGTTCAGCTATATCCTACATTATAAGATGTCGTGTAAATTGCAGCTAGGTGAGTCATGCTAATTCAACCTAAACAAGAGGAGATAAGCTGATCCACCTGCTAGGTGAGTCTTACGTACCCACCACCTTCGCTTTAAAGGGTATCAAGCTCATTCATCACCTCCCCTACCAAGTGAACCACGCCCATCTAATAACTTCCCCGTCAATTAACAGACGCTCGCCTCCCACTTTCCCTTCCTGGTGAGTCATGTTCATCGATAACCATCTCCACAACCAAGTGGGTCATGCTCACCCACCACCTTCTGTCCAGGTGACTCATGGGCACCCATCTTCTCCTGCTAGGTGAAACACACTCACTAGCCCTCTCTCCTGCCATGTGAAGAATCACGCTCACCGATTACTTACCATCCAAGGTGATTCACCTTCACCCACCTCTTCTACTATTAAGTGACTCATGCTTTACAATATTTATTTAATTTTAACATTTTTATTTCGACAAATTTCTCATTGTGATAAGAGATTATACGAAAACGATTACTTATCACACTGAACAATAATCAATGATTACAACGAGGAGGGACTTTTCAAGGATATGTGAGTACCTGTGCAGGTGTTGCCAGGTGTATTGAAATCGATGTCATTGAAATCGTCTTAAAGCTAAGACTTTTCGTATTCATTTCTTTATTCAAATTTTCATTACTTTTATCCTATCATTTAATTGGATGCTGTGTACACTGGAGATAATACGTGTTTATTAGAATGATTAATTTCTGATGTTAATGATCCTTATAATTACTGGTGATAATCTTCTATAGATTTCTTTAATTTGGTCATAAGATTAGTTATTACACAATGAACTGGTGCACGAACCACACTAGTTCCTAGACGTATATGAAGTTCTAGCAATAACCCCCCAATGTAGGTGTTTGAGGCTTTGATTCAAGTTAATTATCTATACAGCCCATTAATTATTTAAGTGATTATACTTCATAATATTTATCCATAGACACTGGTTCTTCCTTGTGTTTCTAATGATCACTTTTTATTAGTTTCCCTCTTTTCTTTAAAAGCGGGTGGTCCTTCGTAATTGATTTCATTACTTTAATAATTAAATAAATAGAGTCAAGCCCCAAATGTCCCACATTATGGTCCTTATCGAACCGGATAAACATAAAATATAAATATACATACTAATTAGTAATAACTAATCACCGTGTGAAGTAGTCTAGACTAACCATTTTAATTAATTGTGTCTACCGACAGCGTAACACATAGGTTAGCCACACCAAGTCACACCAAGTCACACCAAGTCATTGCTACTTACACCTCATGTATAAGGTAGCACTCGTGGGACTCAGTCAATTACCCACAACACTTAGACCTATACTTCATACTGAAGTAAGAATCTTTAGGTCACCAGGAGCAACAGCTCATAACTTGTATAATAATTCCTCACTAACACCAATTATGTGTTAACCATTTGGGCTATACAAATATTTCAATATACGGCTGTCAGCAGACTGTCCATTATAGCCTGAATTCATTCCATAATTACTGATTCACTCAAGTCAGTGGATTCATTAACATTTTAGGATCCAGTATACTAATATAAATTGCTGATCCCATACTAATTAATTATTACTATCCCTGATAACATTTTATTCCACAATTAGGAGTACATTCAGGAGTTAAATATTATTTACGGCAGTAGAATACTTGCCATACACAATTAATTCTCTTGTGTTCATTTAATTTCTTATACACATAATTTCTACCAGTGTATATATATTATATAAACTATAAAATCCAAAAAACAAACAAAAATACAGCACAACTATATTCACATTACTGCACCTCAATAATCTTTACCAATCTTATTAGGTAGAATTTTAGGCTGTGATTGTGCTGAATTTGGCACAAACACAGACTAAATAAATTTGTAGTTTCTTAGGTAGAAATTTTCACGACTAGACTTAAGCTAGTCAGTAGTATATGTATTATACGCTTTGTGCTGAGCCTGTCAAGGGTGGGATTAAACCTTAAGATAACTCTGATTAGAGTATATCCATATTATTTCTTCTTGTACTCATTATTTTGTGTGTATCTATTTTGAGTATTGCTGAATGATCACCATTACATCTAATGGTGATATAGAAGAGCTAACCGGACGAAAGTTAATGGTGAAGTTCGAGCACTACTCAAAATAATTAGTTATTTCTTGTTAGGCAGGTAAATTAACCTCTGAACGAGGTAGTGTAGTCTATTCAAATATATTAGGCTATTATTGTTGATATTGAACTCCCTTGAATGAGTCAATATCCCAGTTATCTCAGTAACAAATATTCACTGCCAAACCAGCCTTTACCCACCAAAATGGAAACGGCTGAAAAAATTAAAAGGACTCTTATCGGTCTGAAAGGTCATTTGACCCGACAGATTACTAAATGTCAAAATCTGTCACAACAGTCACCTGTTGACTACTTTGAATTAGAAGATTTACTTCAAGTTGCTGAAAGCAAATTTGCCTATATTAAGCAACACATGAATCTGTATTTGACAGAACTTCATTCAACTTCTGTAGATGATAGTGAACATGAGGATGTTATAAATGACTTAGCCCAATATGAAGAAGATATACGGGTTAAGCTTCTACCCTTTAAGAAGCAAATTGCTAAAAACAAATTAGCAATAACTTCTACTGCACATACAGATCCTGATGTCAAATTACCTCAAATCAATATACGCACATTCTCTGGTAACGAGAATGAAAGTTGGCTGATTTCTGGAGTAAATTCGTGAATGCACAGTAGACTCTAAAATCAACATTCCTCAAACAACCAAATTCACTTATTTACAAGGTTTGTTACGAAATGAAGCCTTGAAAGTAATCTCTAATATAACACTGACCAGTGATGGTTACACCTTAGCTGTTCAATTGCTCAAAACCAACTACGATAACACGGAGAGAACTATTACTGTCTTAGTTCAAAAATTACTAGATTTACCATCTGCTAATAATTCTACAGATTCTCTCCAAACTTTCAGGCTAGAGTTAGAATCTTTACTCAAGGCCTTAAGCCTTAAAGTCCAAATTCAGACAGCTGAATGGATGACCAAAGTAGTTGTTAGGCGAAAATTACCAAGAGAAACCTTAGATAAATTGTGTACTATGTACAATAAGACCTTTCTGACCTTGAAAGAAATTACAGAAGGTCTACATACCTTAGTCGAAAGACAAAGAGCCAATCAAGATGGGAAAAGTGTTTCCAACTTCTCTACTAACTCCCATCGTAACTCAGCTCATATTGACACTGCAGTCAAACCCAAAACGACTTTAAATAAGTCTAATAAATTTAAACCTAGGACTGCTCCATCCACTGGAAAGGGGAGTGGTAATGTAGGTACTTATTTAGTATCTCCTTCTGGTGTAACCAATGACTTGTCTACTAAAGGGACAAAGTCAACCAGAGAGATAAGGTGTCTGTTCTGTAGTCAAGAACATGCCACCTACCAATGCACTGTTTATCCTAACTTTAATACCAGGATTAAACGGTTACAAGAAATACACAGGTGCACCAAGTGCATGGGCTCTCATGATCCCCAAAAATGTGTAGTGCAACTACGTTCATGCAGTAGATGCAACCAAGGTGTACATCACTATGCCTTATGTAGAAAAACTTCTACCCAATCCATGACCACTGGGGAGAATTCCACGAATTCTACCACAGTACAATATTGCAAAGTACATCAAGAAATAAATGTACTTGCTACTGAGTCAGGCAATAATACTACTCTGCCTACAGCTCAACTTAGACTAACAAACAGGAAATCTAGAGTTAACACTAGAGGTCTTTTTGATCAAGGATCACAGAAAACCTTCATTACACAACAATTAGTCGAGCAGTTAAAATTAAAACCTGCCAAAAGTGTGAGATTGAATATTTCTGGTTTCTTGACTAATAGTGGACCTCGTGAATACCAAGTAGTTAAGGTATTAGTGAGACTTGGATCTTCCACTAGTCCAATACAAGCGGTAGTAGTAGATAAACTTCCTACAGACCTGCAGGTCACAGGATTAGCTCGCACTGCGAAATATCTTAAATGAAACCGCATGAGGCTAGCAGATTACAAAATAAATTCTGACTGCCTCACTGATGTTGGAATACTTATAGGCGCTGACCATTATTATAAATTTATAACTGGATGCACCAGACAACACGGAATGAATTTCTTGTTATCTGCTGGAGGCAAGTTGCTTACTGGACCGGTGCTTTTCCAAAAAAATCCAGCGTCAACCAACCAACAGTCTAACAATATAATAGTGGCGTGACTAGGCTTGGAACAGTCACCCCCTACATTTCAGAGAAATATCTGAAGATATTGAGTCTGATCCACCTGTACATCGTCTGTGGGATTTAGACACTTTAGGTATTATCCCTGAACAACCAAGCCCTGATGATATGTGGACTTACCAGCAATATCTGGATACAGTTGTCTATAAAGATAAACAATACTGGGTGAGACTACCATGGAAGTTGAATCATCCACAACTTCCAGTTAATTATTTTATGGCAGCCTCACAATTACAGTCTCAATTAACACGACTGAAGAAGCAGCCAGACAAACTGAACATGTATCATCAACTAATCCAACAACAACTCAACAGTAAATTTATCGAGGTTGTTGATGATGATGACCGGAAAATAGGTCACTATTTACCCCATACGCTGTGGTGAAAGATTCATTGACGACACCAAT